CAAGGTCCTGGTTCAAACCCCAACTTGGAGGATTGAAGGAAGCCTTAGGTAAGAGTAAAGGAATTAAAGGAAATGAGGCCCAAACCTTAGAAATAAACCTCAGTATTTAAAAAACAAAAAAAAGCCATTATGGGTACTAATAACCTGTTTTGGCAGAAATGCATTATAAGCAGAGCCACCCTCATGTGATTGTGTGTGTGTGTATATATATATATACATATATATATATGAGTGTCATATACTGTCTAAATGAAAACTCAGAAAGTTAATAAACAACTTCAAATTATAAAATGAGACCTGTTGAGCATCTAAAGGACATTAAGAAAATAAATGTCCCTTAATTGTGAAATATTCATCAACAAAGCGAACAAAATGTTTAAGCACCTCACTAAAATGGGATAGGAGAAAGCCTAAGGTTTTCATAGAAGAGGTAATACTACTCTCTTTACTACAAATTTAGTAATATCAAGTACAAAATATACATGCATTTATATAGTCTTCCATAGGTTAAGTAGTATTCATCTGCACAAATCATATAATAGTATTTGTTCATAATGTATAAGTTTTAACCACATGTCAACATCAGAGGTGTTGGGGGAGGGGAATCTTGGGGCTTTTTTGTATGTGTGGTCCTTAGCCTTGAACACGGGGGCCTAGGCCTGGACCTGGATGCTGTCCCTCATCTTTTCTGTTCAAGGCTAGCACTCTACCACCTGACCCAGAGCTCCACTTCTGACTTTTTTGGTTTAATTGGAGACAAGAGTATCATGGATTTTCCTGCCTAGACTGGCTTCAAACCATGATTCTAAGATCTCAGGCCTCCTAACTAGCTAGCATTACAGGCATGAACCACCACCAGCACACCTAGCTTCATCATCAATATTTTAAGAGACTTACTCAATAGTTGAAACTTCTATAGAACTATTTGTTACCATATTTTGTCTCTTCAATGAATGACAAAGTCACTTAAACTAAAACTGTCTTTTCAAAACACATAGAATTTCCACATACTAACATGAAAAAAGTTCTCTGTAAAAATTATGAATCAGATCTATTTGTGAAATGGATAATAACTACAAAGTAACAACACACTTAAGTAGGCATCATTATAGAATATCTCACTTATTAAATAGAAAGAGAATACGAGATCAACTAAGGAAAAAAATTGAAGGATCTGTATTTAAATATTTGTTTTTAAGAGTCAAGTTAAACTGTAGAACTGTAGACATCTCGATTGCAGAATTTGACTAGAACAGATACACAAATCCTAGAATCAAAAAAAGAGGGAAAAGGCTGGCATCCAGGTAGTTCACGCCTGGCTCAAAGCCAGCTGGGACAGGAAATTCCGTGAAACTCTTATCTCCAATTAACCACCAGAAAATGAAGTGGTGCTGTGGCTCAAGTGGTAGACTGCTAGCCTTGAGCTGAAGAGCTAAAGGACAGCACCCAGGCCCAGAGTTCAGCCCTACAACTGACAAAAAAAAAAAAAAAAAGGGAGAGGGGGAAGCAGGGAACATAAAAGCAACGTACATGGAATGTCTGGGATTTACTTACATTTTGTATTTTTTTTTTGTTTTTTTGTCAGTCATTAGGCTTGAATTCGACTTGGGCAAGTCCCTGTGCTCTTGAGCCACAGGGCCACTTCCAGTTTTCTAGTGGTTTATTGGAGATAAGAGTTTCACAGACTTCCCCTGACCAGGCTGGCTTTGAACCGTGATCCTCAGATCTCAGCCTCCTGAGTAGCTAGGTTTACAGGCGTGAACCACTGGCACCTAGTATCTTGTATTGTTTTATGTTGCAGAAAAGGTAGTATATGAGCACATGAAGAGTAATATTTATATACCTGTAAGGATGAATTCGATTTTTATAAAACCATAAATGTATGGAAAACATAAAGAAATCTCTCCTCTCTCTTTCCCCCTCCCTTGTTCTCTCTCTTTCTTTCTCTCTCTTTTTCTCTATCTGAACTTTTTTGCTCAAGACTAGTGCTCTCCCACTTAAGCCAAAGCTCCACTTTTGGCTTAGCATAAAAACATTTTAATATGCTAAAAACTTGGAAGTCAGGGCTGGAGATATGGCTCAAGTGGTAGCATGCTGACCTGGCAAGCATGAGGCCCTGAGTTCAATCCTCTGTACCACCAAAACCAAAACTTGCTAATGGAAGTGGCGCTGTGGCTCACGTGGTAGAGAACTAGCCATGAGCTGAAGAGCTGAGGGACAGCGTCCAGGGCCAGAGTTCAAGCCCCACGACCAAAAAAAAAAAAAAAAAAAAAAATTCAAGTCATCATAAACTATTCCCATAAAAGACAAAATGCTTTGTATCAAAGTGCCTATTAATAAATCAAACAGAAATTTGCAACAAGGCAAGTTACAGTTAAAATGAGATGCAGCTAATTGGAACCACTATACTTTATTGGTAGTAATATAAAATGCAGTCACTATGACGACCAGTTTTAAGAGTGCCTCAAAAAATTAAACAACATTAGCAATAAATCCATTCTGAGGTATATACTTCAAAGAACTAAAAGCAGGTTTTCAAGTCAAAACCTGACCAGGCACATTCACAGCAGCACTATTCATAATAGTCAAAAGGCTAATCCTCATTAGCAGGTGAATGGATAATCAAAATATAGTACATTCATATAATGGAATATTATTCAGTCTTGAAAAGTAATGAAATACTGACAGCTACAATCCTAACAGATACTTAAAAACAGCTTTTGCTAAAAAGCATTGACTCCTCACATGAAATTGCAAATGTCCAAAGGCTAACTGAAAAAAGGATAAAAACTTAGCATCCTTGCCTCCATTTTTACATCTATCTCTTTACTCTGGGCCCCTCTCACCTCTGCAATTATCTTGGGTTGTAAGAAGGACAAGACTAATCAATAATGTCTTCACAATGAGGGAACCAAAGCTACTACCCACAATGAAAAAAACAGCAGACCTCAAGACAATGCAGCCCCCAAATGAAGACAATTACTTATAATGATGCAACTACAACCTGGAGCAAAAGTAACCAACTTACAGGAACCAGACCGTTCCCCTAAAGTAATGACAGCAGTAATTGCTCCAGAATCCCTAGGAGAATCAGAACTGAGATAATAATCAAGCCGGCCACACTTTGCCAGGATCTGTTTAATTATGTATACATCTTTTTTCCTACCCCCAATTTTCCTCTATTTAAATCTATAAAGCTCTTGTCAGTACCCTCCAAATGGGCTGAAGTATGTACTTTTTGCCATTTACTGTGGCATGTCTAAGCCACATAAACAATTTCTGTTCTTTACTATTACTGATCTTTTTATTTCTTGTATTCTGTCAAGTGACTGGACTTTACAATGTCACTTGATTTTCTTGTTCATGGCTAAGGCTCTCCTACTTGAGTCATTGCTCCAGTTAGGCATTTTGCTGATTAATTAAAAATGGAGTCTCTTGGCCTTTTCTGCCCCAGGTAGCTTCAAACTTAGATCCTGCAGGTTTCAGCTTCCTGAGTTGCAAGGATTATAGGCACCTGGTTAAACATGTAATTTGTTAAGTTAAAATCTTCCATGTACCTCCTTTTTAGCTAAAACCTATCTTTTGCCAGTAGTGCCATATAACCAATAACTCTCTCAACGGGCTGGCCTCCTGTCAACCAAAATGAGAATGGCCATTCCCACCTCCCCTCTACAGTCCTACTCCAGTGCTATCCTCTGTCATCATACTACTTCCTCTTTATTCCAACCTATGGTCTCAGACTCCTGGGGTTCTTTACAATTAGTTACTATATTGAGTACTCAGATGTACATGTTCATATTAAGACCATCTCTCTCACATGTATGTATTACCATCTCTCAATGTTGCGAATTAATCAAGTGAAGGAGCCACTATAATAGCTGTAGCTATTATTCTCTTCTTTTTACTGACAAATTCTTAGGATCAGCAAACTATAGTTATGTCAGCTACTTATCAGGTCTAAGTAAGACCATATTGATAAGAGTCCCCATTTATTTACTCCCCATTTATTATGTGAAGCTGCTTTTCCCCTAACAGCAAAGTTGAATAGTTAAGGTATTCTTTGGCACAAAAGCCTAAAATATATTCTGATTCTTTAAAAAAAAAAAAAAAAAAAGTTGCCAGTCCCTGGCATCCAAGCATTATCTACAAAGATACTATTTCTTCAGAGGACAACAATCAACAGTGTCACTGAAAGTTTTGGAGCAAAAATAAAGAACACGAATAAAGAGGCATCTCAAGACAACTACTATGTAGGGAAGGTACAAAAAAACTATTTAGAAAACTATTGCAAGAAACGTGACATTAGACATAAAGGACTTGGAAAAAAAGACTACTAGATGACTACATGTGACAGAAGAGACAAAGCTAAACACCAAAATCTTAATCTTCAATAATATAACTTAAAATTTCCATTTTCTCCAACAACTCTAGAGAATTTTAGCTTTCCATATTTTTCCTGTCTTGCTAGTTTTAGAATTCCTGAAGTACTAATTTCACCTTTTTTTGACAGTATTTTTTTAGAAGAGGGAGGATTTGGACACACTTGATAGGCAGGTGCTCTACTACTTAAGCCATGCCCCAGCCTTTAATTCTCATCTTTTATATTCCAAGTATTCCTCATGCTTGCTGTCTAGATAACGCCTGTGTAAGCAAACTACTTTTGAAGAGGCGATCCCAACAGAGTTAGCCAAATGTCAGATGTAGATGGAGTACTCACCTGTGGTACCAAATAAGAGAAGGGAACTAAGGTTTCAGGCCTAAAACTTGATCCAGCCCAACAGGAAGAACCAGCTAAAATTTGCTTACAGCAGGAATGTCTTTGATATATTCTTTCTAATGTTTAAAGACTACCATTAGGGTCGACTCTGCTGACCATCTCATGAGAAACAACATTGAAAATGAGCAAATAAAAGGAAATAACCCTGCTGTCTTCTATGTAGGAAAAAACAGTCCTTTTTAATAAAGACAACAGTACTTTTCAAGATAGCCAGTATACTAACCTTCAATAACAGAGTTTTCACATCCCACAAGGTTAAGAAGGATATCATCATCTTTATCATCGACTTCACATCCCAGTAGCATCCAGCTTTCAACATTCTCATTTTCTGAAATGGTGCTCTCTTCTTCTTCTTCTTCGCTTGAACTGACCTCTATAATCATGACCTCTCGAATAACTCCTGATTTCTCTTCAGATTTAGGCTTTTCAATATCCCTCTTACCAGCCAATTTATTAGAATGATGAGAAGCAGGAAGACCTTGAGTCTTTTCTTGTTCTTGGTCTCTAAAATTTTTTCTTTTACATCTATAAATACTATCTTCATCAGACAAAGTGATAATCTCTGACTCATCCGATAACTGGATGACCTCACTATCTGAAAGGACAATTAAGTTCTTCTGATTTGGCTTACTACCAGATGATTCCGAATTCTCAGAGTTGTTTTCTTCATGTCCTTCCTCCGTGATGGCACTACCAAGATCTTGGGCATAATGAACTTGGCTGTAAAGTTGAAATTCCACTTCACTATCAACACTCAGTTCACTAGATGACTCTTCCCGATAAAGGTTATCTTCATATGCTTCTACAGTCTCATAGCCGCCAAACATTATGAAAAGTTGGTTTTCTAAGGGCTGTAGGAGAAAGTTATACAAAGAATATATTTTAAAAGCTTAGATCTCATCTAGTTAGTACAGATCATCCAAAAACCAACTTCTCTATACAGAGGCCATCGGTTTTCTCCAATATATTAAAATACTTTTTCTCTTACTTTTAATTTTTTAACAGGTCTAAATCCTGTTATGACCCACTATAATAATGTCCACCCCACTCAAATAAGAATTATGACCAACAAATTAAGTTACAGCTACTAGCAAAAATATATTTCTAAGGTATAATAAGAAAAAGACAAACAGGTGGAGATCTACTGCTTCACAACACCTATTCTTCAAAATGGTTAAAATTACAAAAAAGATTCTAACATCTCTCACTGTATCATTCATTTTTCATCTCTTTCTTTCTTCTGGCCTTATGCTTTTCAGGTATGTGGTCTCATGCCACAATATTATTTTATTACTAAAAGCTGAAACAGAATGCCATTATATGTACTGTTTGGAGTGTAGTTAATTATTCTGAACTAAAAACTTAATCTCAAGGAATGGAGGTATAGTTCAGTGATAGAGTACATGCTCAGCAAGTAAAAGGAAGGCCATAGGTTTAATCTCCAGCACTACAATAATAGTAGTAGTAGTAATAATAATAATAATTCCTTGGTGCAAAGAATACATAGAAAATATTTGATAAATTTGCTTACTTTCATGCTAGTTATAAAAATGTGTATGAAATACAAACTTATTAAAGACATAAAACTGGCTGGGAAGGTGGCTCAGTGGTAGAGCACTTGCCTTGCATGCTTGAAGCCCTGGGTTTGATTCCTCAGCACCATATAAGCAGGAAAAAAAAAGCCAGAAGTGGCTCTGTGGCTCCAGTGGTAGAGGGCTAGCCTTGAGCTGAAGAGCTGAGGGACAGTACCCAGGCCCAGAGTTCAGGCCCTACGACCGGACCCACCCCCCCCCCAAAAAAAAGACATAAAACTGAGGCAAATTTCTCAGTTCTAGGGGAAAAATGCATAGAAAAAGAATTTTTCTTATTGCATGTATATTAAGTTCTGCACAGCCTGCAACTCAGCTTTAAAATCCCTTTCCACCATTTATAGTTATCCATAGCACTCTATATTTCAAAACCTTTGCCATATTTCTAATTATCTATTCAATGTAAATGTTCCAGTAACAATGTCAATTTATCCTTTCTTCCACTCTTAGCTATACAGATACAGTAATATAGAAATAATAGTTTCAAGCTGGGCGCCGGTGGCTCACACCTATAATCCTAGCTACTCAGGAGGCTGAGATCTGAGGATGGGGGTTCAAAGCTGGTCCAGGCAGGAAATCCGTGAGACTCTTATCTCCAATTAGCCACCAGAAAACAGGAAGTGGTGCTGTGATTCAACTGGTAGAGCACTAGCCTTGAGCTGAAGAGCTGAGGGACAGCGTTCAGGCCCAGAATTCAAACCCCACGACTGACCAAAAAAGAAAGAAAGAGAGAAAGAGAGAGAGGGTGAGGAGGGAGGGAAGGAGGGGAGGGGAGGGAAGAAGAGGGGAGAGAGGGAGGCAGGGAGGGAGGGAAAGAAGAAAGGAAGGAGGGAGGGAGGGAGGGAAGGAAGGAAAAGGAAAGAAAGAAAGTTAGTTTCCATAGGTTTCCAATTCTCTGCTCCAAATGTCAGGGTTTTGTGATGGTAATTTTGATTTCAAAACAAAAACAACAGCAAAAACAAAAAAACAAAAAAACAGCTGACCTCAAGAATCACACAAACCAAAGCCCAAAATATACTAAACTTAAGCTGTTCTATTTTGTTTACTAAAATAAAGGAATTAACTTTTAATGCTTTTTTCCTTCTAAGTACAATATACTTGTTCCCTTATCCCACTGCTTTTCAGGTTGCTATGCTGTTATGGTCATACAACTTGAATGTTGCTGTCTGAATAATAATGCTCATAGCATTTATCAGTTTATATTGAAATGTTAGCCTCAGAGGAATTCAAATAAAAGATGAATCCTTTCCTTTTTATTTAATAGGTAAATTAATTCTAAAAGAAGTCAAAGGAATTATGTTTCCTTCAAAATCCTCACTGGATCCATCCTGAGGATCCAGTGTGGACTTAAGATAAAACCTAATTCCAGTGCAGCACAGAAAAAAATTAAAGAGCTAAATTACAGAGTTATAAATTTGACTACTCTTGGAGGCATCCCAAAGGAAAGGGATTAAGAATAGAGCCATAGGCACACCTGTGAATGTATGCCAGAAATAAACTACAGAACCATAATAAAAACTGACTTCCTTGGGTCTAGGATTTATCTTTTCCCCTGAAATGTAGAAAAATGAATTTAACAATTTAGCCCCTATGGCCTTTAAGAGGATTTTGTATCTTCTCTACTTGAAAACTGTGCTCAGGGATAGCATACTCTCTTCTATTTATGTAGCTTATGTATTCCAGGGTTAAGGTTTGCCTCAGGCTGCTTTTGGTTTTTTATGTTACTCCTTTAATTACATCCAAATGCATTTAATTAATTCTTAAAAAGTAAACTCAGAAAAAAAAGTATACTTCTTGAGGACTACATATGTACACATGCATATCCCTTAACTGGGGAAGCTTTCTCAATATTTGGGTCATTGTAAACAACTTCTAAGCACACTTAAATAAGTGTCTTTATTAAATAAGGTCTTTATGACAGCCACAAACTTTTAATCTAGAAGAAACCTGTTAGATTATTTCACATAGCCTCCTAAATCTACATACAAGGAAATTGAAGGTCCAAGAGATAATAAGACCCAAAGAGATAATGAGGCCTATCCAAGGTCAGGCAGCTAGTTAAGACCACACTAGAATATATTTACATTTCATGAGTCTCAGCCAAGTACTAAGATTTTTTTTTAAAGAAAAGTTTCAAAATAAATGATTTCAAATAGAAACTGGTACATATGCATTGGCTCTAACACCTAAATTTACCTTATACATATCCATTTTACTTTCAACTGTGGTACAAAACCTATGAGGGGCATTTAATTAGAAAGAAAACATAAATTTAAATGTCAGTTTACTATGCACAAACCTCTCAAATTGGTACTCAAAACTTTACCAGTCCTAAAACTAAAGATGGCTCCTACATAAGAATCTAAAATATCATGGATGTGCAAATGAAATTTATCCTAAAAATTAATATAGCTTAATATAAAAACAGCTATAGCAAATAAATTACCACGAAAGTTCTCACCATTATAAAAAGGGAGTAGTAATCATTTACTGATTTTTTTAACGAAACAATGTAAGGCTTATTAAAGCTTTCAAAATTTACTTAAATTTAAAGCCAATACTTTAATTCTAACAGTCTTTCTACTGGCCATTCTGGACATTTTGCTCTTATTTCTGCTGAACCACTTAAACCACAGATGTCCTTTTTTGATATTATAGGCATTCACTGCAGACAAAATTGAATAAAAACCACAGATTTATTTTAGTTATTTTATATGCTGGGGATTGAACCAATAGCATCCCCAGCCTCACACCTGGCCTTTAAACCCAGTTTTAATTAGAATTTGATTAATACATTGTTTACTATCAACTTAAAATTTCTGACTCTTAGGATACTACCCTGACAGACGGTGCTGCCGGACCGTGCTACACAAGTAAGTTAATCAAAATCAAAATGTAGGGATCTATTTTTCAAAGGAGATTGCCACTTTGAATCAAATGACCGCATAAAGAAGTGCCTTGAAGGAAGAAAATTAGACTTAAATTAATGCGGTGGAATCCCAACTGTTCTTGAGACAGTCTTTTTACAAGAACAAATTCTGTCTACAAACAGTTGCTTCCTTTACCTTTCTCTCAGCTGTTCTCCTTCTGCCCTATAGACTGTTATCCTGACAATCCTTCCGATTCTCTAGCTCACAGCTACACTAAACTGTTCCCAAAGCACAATGTTGTTAAATACATACAGTTCATCACTTTAAAATGGTCATTACAAGAAAGCCTAAATATTCAAAACAAAGACTAGAGCTTTGGGAGGGACCTGAATATCAACCAATTAAAGCTCTGATTTTATACTTGGGGAAAGTGGGCTAGGGGAAAATTTATGAGCTTAAAAAGACCTTAAAGTTTTTTTTTTTTTTCCCCTAGTTCAACCTTGAACTCTGTAATAATGACTAATTCTACCTAAAGAGATTCCAAAAGTCACCAAAGTAAATCAGTGGTGGCGCCGAGACTAAAATCCAGGCCTAATTCCCAGCCAGCTTGTCAAATGCACTAGCAGCCATTCCCTAAAACTAAAGGCACCTACACCGGCCAGCAGGACGAGAGGGATAACGGGAATATTGGTGAACATAGTTAAGTCATCTTGCTTCACATGAGGGAAAAGGCATAGCTCCCAGAAATTTCTATGGTCCAGTGATAAAGGAGTTGGCCTAAGACTGCATAGCCTCCTCCCCCTAGGTGCAGCCGGGCCTCCGCGTTTAACTAGGGAACCTTGTGGGACACTTAAGTAAAACAGTCGGAAAGGCCACCCCCTCTTCGACGCCATGCAGGCCCAGCCTTTCTTGAACTCCGGTCCCCAGGCAGTGGAGGCAGGGAGGCGCGAGAAGCCCGGCCAGCCCTCGGAGCCGCGTGGGGAAGCGCGCGGCTGACGGGCCACTACTTGAGGCCGTGCCGCGCCCCGTCGCACCACGAGTGAAGAGCGACCGGGCCGCGGAGGCCTGTGAGCGGCACGCGCGAGTTTCACAGTCTCACGGGCAAGGCAGAGTGGGGCAGGGGTCCCGCGGCCGCGGGCGGCTCGGGGTCCGTCACACACATACTCACTGCCGCAGCTGCGACCAGGAAGCACCAACCAGGAACCAAAACGCGTAGAAGGACGGGGAGGGGCGAGGACAAATGAGGTAAGGAAGTCGCGTCCGCGAGAACTCAGGAGAAGGGAAGACACTTCCGGGGAAAACAGAATTCTCCGCAGACGTCCTTCCGTCCCCGCCCGACCCACGGGCCCTTCCTGCGCATGCGTGTCAACTGTTAACTCTTCCCTGCTTACAGCCTTTCGGTTCTGCTTGTTTTTTGCTCTCTTCCCTTCATCCTTTCCTTCCCAAATATCTGGACTTCGATTTTGGTGGCACGTATTTTGTTTGAATGAGTTGCACAAAAGATAACTACTTACAGAGTAAACAGACTTAGCAGGTTCTCCTCCTGACCTAGAGAAAACTACAACTCCCATAATGCTATGGGTGGTATTGACAGGCCCCGCCTACGCCTGCGTTTTACTGGTGTCCCTCCAGGTGCCCACGTGGTCGAGAGCTGGACCGAAGCCTCTTAGCAACCGGGACGGCTCAGGTGGCCACTTCAGCGGTTGTCATGCGGAACCCCAATAAAAGAAAGGCCTTTTTGAGAATGTCCGGCTTCTAGTTTCATCAATCCTGGGCTGGATGACCTCAACTGGTCTCTTCCACCCATAGGTTGGAGATGAATTTAGTTCACAGTAGGATGCTCTCACTCCCCACCCCCAACAGATTTAAACCTTTGTGAACCTTGAAGACTCGCATTCTTGCTGAAGCTTGGACTCAGTGCTGGTCGTTTGGAACGTTATGGATGCTATAAGATAGCATCTTATAGTATTGGGAGTTTCTTGCTTTAGTTCCCAATTTCACCCTTTAAAAAAACCATAGTAAACCCATCTGTGCAACATTACAAACACTATCAATTGGTCTCTCACAACAACTCTGAAAGATAATCTTGACTTTTATTCTTTTTGCCAACATTTCCTGAGCATCTGTTAAGATCCAGGTTTTGGTAGAAAGTGCTGATACATGGGATATCTGTAACATCATTTAAAGCAGAGATGGGGAAAAGAATGTAGTTTGGCTATAGTCTGATTGAAAAACAGCCATAGTCAGTGGCCTTGAGGGTGAAAAAGCTGCAGCCAGTAGTTTTATGACCTTATAACAATTGTAAATTTGACAGAAAATATAATTAGAAACCTTGGTTAGCATTATGGTAAGTACTAGGAAGGAGGACAAGATATTATGAAAATACAAATTTTAGGAAGTGGCGCTGTAGCTCAAGTGGTAGAGCGCTTGCCTTGAGCTGAAGAGCTGAGGGACAGCGCCCAGGCCCAGAGTTCAAGTCCCACGACCGACAAAAAAAAAAAAATACAAATTTTAAAAATTCATTTTGAAGATAAGGAAACAGGCACGTAAGTGGGTCCCAGCACTCAGGAAGCAGAGGCAGAAGTCTAGGCCAGCAAGACAATTGTATGAAAGAGGCAAAGAGGAAGGAATAGATTAAGAGATTGGGAAACAAACCAAGAACCAGAACTGGACCCACCAATCATCAATTCATGACCTCAAACAACTGGAATACGGCATGGTGCTACTTGACATGAAGATGAATATAAAAAACTTAAGGAGTTGAAGACACAGATTTATGACTACAGTAACACACACACACACACATACACACACACACACACACACACACACACACACACACACACACACACACCCCAGGTATTGTTTAGAAGCTCTTTAGAAATTATGAGATCCAGGGCTGGAAAGTTGGCTCAGTGGTAGAGCACTTGCCCTTGCCCTGCATGCCTGGGGCCCCCTGAGGCCCTGGGTTCAATTCCTCAGCACCACATAAGCAAAAAGAAAAAAACCGGAAGTGGCGCTGTGGCTCAAGTGGTAAGGCACTAGCTTTGAGCTGAAGAGCTGAGGGACAGTGCTCAGGCCCAGAGTTCAGGCCCCACAACTGGACCAAAAAAAAAGAAATTATGAGATCCACTTTCTTTTTCTTCAGAAAAAACAGAAGTTATCTTAGATTGGTAGGTAGGGCAGTAAGCAGGTGAAGAGGAAATACACCCAGGCCATAAGATTTCATTTCACACTCTGAGCACAAGATTAAGATAATGCATCCACCTCTTTAGAGTATACTCACTTATTTAAAGATTAAACTAGGAAAGGTAAAGAGGATCACCTGCACACCTTGGCAGTGTTTGTGCATTGGCCAAACCTTATAAAGGTGAACCACAAGAGACAGGCCCCAGTTTTGTAGCACCTATAGCCCCACCCTATTAGATATGTAGTAGGAAGATCCATATTCAGGCAGGCAAGCCCACCTAGTTGTCTGGAGTGACAGAGCCCACTGCAACAAGGAGCAACTTTATTGAGAAGGTTCCTACACTGACCGGTCAGGGCCACAGCACAGGCTTGGGAGCTGATACTGCAACCCCGAGTGGCCCCCATTCTTTGGTTTTTAAAGGCAAAATCCATGAGGTCAAGCCTGGTCATGCTCAGGTGACCAATGGGATCGTAACACACACAAAGGATTGTACAGTCATACCAGACCACACACAATAGGCGGCGTTTAACGTAAGCATGTGCAAAAGGCAGGGTTTACCGGGAGCACTTGGAGCCAGATTACAACCTATCCGTTTTATGGGTCAGTCTTTAACTCAACAATCAAGAGTGGGTTAGGTTGTTAAGGGAAGAGGGACCAGATGCATTTTTTTTCATGCCAGGAACTAGGCCCATCAAATCTAAAATCCCTAAAACAAAGGCGAAGCTCAAAATGGAATCATACCAGCATGGGCCCCATCTCAGGGTCCACTTCAGATAAGACCCTAAGCCTTGGACACAATGAGTCCTGATCCAAACTGCTCATCCCTGGAGGTGTCATTTCACTTTCCTAATAAACAATTCTTTACTATCTTCTTGCTCTATGGTCCTCTTCATTGCATCTGGGGACTATCCTAACCTTAGACATTTTACTCAAGAACCAAGAAACATCTGGAACACCTCTGTGTTACATCTGGTAACTCAGTGTTGAAGGAAGAGGTTTGCCAGGAATTAGTACAAGCAGAGCTGGGGCTATAATCCAGGTCAATGATTAATCTGAGATTCTATCCAACTACACACGCACATACACACACACACACACACACACACACACACACACACACACACACACACACACACACATATCCACAGAGCACTTCTCATTTCATTTCCACGCTACCTACAGCACTCACCTTAAAATCATGAACGTAGCATGTTCAAATATTCCTGAAGACTCTTACAGCAAATATACTAAGGAAAACATTTATTTGATATAGGAAACATTTGTTCTCCCTCTGGACAGTAGTGGCTTTATATCAACAGTGAACTGCTAAATTGTGATAAAGGACCAAGACCAATTAGAAACTTGCTGCAGAGCACAGCCAAAATGGGAGAAACCTGGGCATTCTAATGCAAAAAGAGAATCAATCCCTTCCACCCCTTCCCTTGAGCAGTTAAAACTAAGCACTTTGGACCTCTTAATAGTTACCTTTCAATTACTATGCTTTCACAGATTCTATTACTTAGCTATACCTTAGCTAGCCACCTAAGGTATATTGTCTGTCACCCAACCTAGCCACCTAATGTATATTGTCTGTCACCCAGCCTCAAAATAACTTTAACAGAGGTATTGACCTCATTTCATTACCATGGAAACAGAGACTTGAAGAAGTAAATGAACTTGTTCTAAGTAACACACCTGGAAGTATTGAATTGAGTATTAAAATCCAAGTCTTCGCTGAATCCAAAACTTATGTTTCTTTTTATACCCTAAATTCCAACAGCAGAAAACACTGAAAGTTCACAGAACTAGAAATCCAACAGTCTATGAATCATGATGTGTTCAATATTACTAACAATCAGACAACGCAAATTATCTCATACACAATGGATGGGAATTCAAGTTAGGAAAGCTATCTGATGATATCTATCAAAATAGTAAATAGTAAATAATAAAGGTTCTAAATGTATGTTTTTGTGTGTCACAGAAGATTGTGATAGAAATAAGTAAATAATAGTAAATAAGTGTTCACAAACAGGGACCAAAATAAACAAGTCCACATCTATACTGTTTAAAACATTATCAGAGGTAGGACAGTAGGTAGCTCAAGCCTGTAATCCTAACTACTCAGGAGGCTGAGATCTGAGTATTGCCGTTAGAAGCCAGCCTGGGCAGAAAAGTCCATGAGACTCTTATCTCCAATAAACTACTCAGAAAAAGCCTGAAGTGGCACTGTGGCTCAAGTACTAGTCTTGAACACAAAGAGGCTCAGGGACATTTCCCAGGCCGTCAGTTCAAACTTTAGGACCGACAAAAAAAAAAGAAAAAAGAAAAGAAATCTGACTTATTTTTCAAAAGTCAGTGTAATTAAATACAAAGACTGAGAAACTATACTGTACAAAAAAAAGCACACTGAGGAGATATAAGAAACAAAATGCATGATCTGAGATTTTCTTTGGCCATAAAAAAATATTGGAACCATTAAAAATTCAAATATAGATTCAATGACAATATTTTATTAATGTCATTTTTTTTGGGTCAGCCATGGGGCTTGAACTCTGGGCTTGGGCGCTGTCCTTGCACTCTTCAGCCCAAGGAGAGCGCTCTACTGCTTGAGCCACAGTGCCACTTCCGCTTTTCTAGTAGTTTGTTGGAAATAAGAGTCTTATGAACTTTCCTGTCCGGGCTGGCTTTGAACCTCAGATCTCAGCCTCCTGAATAGCTAGGATTACAGGCGTGAGCCACCAGTGCCTGGCTTTTATTTTTGTTTTTTGTCAGTCATGGAGCTTGACCTCTGTGCCTGGGCACTGTCCCTAAGAACTTCAGCTCAAGGCAAGTGCTCTGCCACTTGAGCCACAGTGCCACTTCCAGTTTTCTGGTGCTTAATTGGATATAAGAGTCTCAGTGACTTTCCTGCCCAGGCTGGCTTTGAACCACAATCCTCAGATCTCAGCCTCCTGAATAGCTAGTATTACAGGTGTGAGCCACTGGTACCCAGCTAGTTGTATAAGAAATGTCTTTGCTCTTTGTTAAGTATACATATACTAAAGTACCTTGAATAAAGAAATACTATTTCTGAAACAGATTC